GTCTGCTGTATGGACCAGTTTGCATTTAGAGGGAAGCACATGTTGGAATTAGCACTGTTTCCTCTCTGGCAGAATCTCACCTACTTTAACCCTGTAATGCCAAATGTGTCATATCTGATACATACGGTTTCTGAAATGTTTTGCGTCTGACTCCTTTTTCATAATTTAATGGTAAAAACTTTGCTCAAAATCCTATTGAACACAATCAGATACACCTGATAACAGGGGGCAGAAGACTACAGAAAAACATAATCTTGACTTATCGCATAGTAATAAATCATTAATATTAGAAAATTATTTTTGTGACCGTGACCATGAAACCGTGAACCGAACCGAACCGTGGATTTTATGAACCGTTCCACCCTTAATATCTATACAGCAGAACCTCCCCAGAGTATAACTGGTTCCAGGAGTGACTTCTGTGTTAAATATGGGTGTGTTGGTTAAAATCTTCCATCAGAATACTCTGTAATTCCTAGAATTGGTTCCAAAAACCTACGATAACTCCTTAATAAATACTGCAGATAATTACACACAGCAAGAAAACAAGTGACTTCTAGAAGAGAGATGGATAAAGAAATAAATTATGCAGAAATAATGAGTAAAAAGGGTTTTTATTGTCCCTTTAGCTCAGAGACTGAAGAACGGAGGTAGAGGTGGAGACTGAGATACAGGACCAGCCCTAACTCACTCTTAGACAGGAACTTACAGTAGTTATTTTTAGTTAATTTTATATTATATATTTTATATTTATGTTGATTTTTCTTTTCTTTTTTGAATACATGAACTTTAAACTTACTTAGCTTATTTATTTTGATTTAATTTTGATATTTAATATTTTTGTTTTTATTTTTTTTATCTAACTTTCACTACATGAACTTTAAATTAACTTTAATGTTATTTCTTTTATTAATTTATTTTAATTTAATTTTGATGTTTTATGTATTGTTTTCTATGACTTCGACGTGGATATATTTGATCGAATTTCACTTTGGACACGATTGGAAGTAGAGGTTCTGCTGTATATATCTATAGATAGATAGATAGATAGATAGATAGATAGATAGATAGATAGATAGATAGATAGATAGATAGATAGGTTGGTGTATAGATGGATAGATAAATA